CGTACATGAACGAGTTCCGCTCCAAGGGCTGAATGTATTCTGTGGATGGCAGAGCCCAGGCACTTAACTAAAGACCAATTCTGCACACAGCAACACACACACCTGCTGCTGCTGCTGCTGCTGCTGCTGCTGCTGCTGTTGGTGTTGTTGTTGTTGCTGCTGCTAAGGAGGTTGCGCGGAGAAGCAGCAGCAGCAACGGCAACAGCAGCAGCAGCAACAATGATATAGAACGAAACCCAGGAAGCAACAGCAGCAAAACAAATGGCAGCAGCAGCAGTAGCAGTCGACGCTGTAGAAAACAGCAGCAGCAGCAGCAGCAGCAGCAGCAGCAGCAGCAGCAGCTTCTCACCAGATCGATGATGACGAGATCATCAGGATCCTTCGGGAGGCCAGCAGCACAGGCGCGACGGATCTGAGCAGCAGCAGCAGCAACAGCAGCAGCAGCAAGAAGCAACTGCTGCAGCACCAGCTGCAGCACTAGAATCCACAGCAGCAGCAGCAGCAGCAGCAGTAGCAGCAGCAGCAGCAGCAGCAGCAGCAGGTGCTAGCCTCACATATCTCCCCACAATAGACTCGAGCTCAGCCACAGCCTCCGGCCCCTGGGCCCTCTCTGCAGCAAAAAAATACAGGGGGAGGAGACGCAGCAATCAAGACACAACCAGCAGCAGCAGCAGCAGCAGCAGCAACAGCAGCAGCAGCACAGCAACAGCAGCAACCGCAGAAGCAGCGACTGTAGGAGCACTTGCAGCATCCCCATCCGCAGCAGCAGCAGCAGCAGCAGGAACAGCAGATGCAGCTCGTGTAGCTCTGGCGGGGTGTAAAAAGGGTTTAGTTTTTAGGGTTTAGGGTTTAGGGTTTAGGGTTTAGCGGCACCCGGCATCTGACGCAGCGTGGCTTCCAGCTGCTCCAGGTGCAGCAGCTGCTGCTGCTCCAGCATACACCGCAGCTGAGGAGACAAACAAACAACCAATCAACAAAATAAATGCAGCAGCAGCAGCAGCAGCAGCAGCGGCAGCAACAGCAGCAAGAACAGCAACAAAAACAGCAACAGGAACAGCAGCAACAGCAGCAGCAGCAGCAGCAACTGATTGGTGCATCAGACAGCGCCTTCGGCTGTACAAACTCCCTACAACTCCTGCAGCAGCAGCAGCAGCAGCATTTGCTGCTGCTGCTGCTGCTGCCCCAGCTGTTGCTGCTGCTGCTGCTGCTGCTGCCCCAGCTGTTGCTGCTGCTGCTGCTGTTGCCCCAGCTGTTGCTGCTGCTGCTGCTGCTGCTGCTGCTGCTGCTGCTTACTCTGGGTCTAAAGGCCCTCCATCCCCTGGGGTCTATGAGTGCCTCATCTTCTTCTTCTTCTTCGCCTGACTCTCCCTCCTCAGAGCTGCAGCAGACACGCAGCAGCAAAGGTTTTTTATCGTGACAGCAGCAGCAGCAGCAGCAGCAGCAGCTGCTGCTGCTGCTGCTGCTGGTGGTGGTGGTGCAAGAAACGCAGCAACTGCAGCAGCAACAGCTGATGCAGCAGAAACAATAATATGCTACTGGGCTAAACAACGCTATCTATCTATGTTGCTGTTGCTGCTGCTGCTGCTGTCTCCTTTCTGCTGAGCCTGTCCCCTTCATATATATATATATATATATATATATATGCATATTTATTTAGTTATATATTTATAGAATAATTCATTTATATTTATATTTATGTATTTATTTATACCTATATACTAATTTATATATATATATATATTTATATATATACATATATATATATATATATATATATTTATTTATTTATTTATTTATTATATCTTTTACTCTGAAGTGTTGGTGGTGATGGTCTCCTTGCGGCAGACAAAAGCAGCAAGGGGCGGTGTCTTATCGTTTGCTGCTTCTTCTTCGCTGCTGCTGCTGCTGCTGTCTCCTTCTGTCTCCAAGCTCACACCCAGGTCACTCAGCTGCATGCAACACACACAACAAAGGAAAGCCAACTGCTGCTGCTGCTTGTGGTGCTGCTGCTAGTGGTGCTGCTGCTGCTAGTGGTGCTGCTGCTGCTAGTGCTGCTGCTGCTAGTGCTGCTGTTGCTGCTAGTGCTGCTGCTGCTGCTAGTGCTGCTGCTGCTGCTAGTGCTGCTGCTGCTGCTAGTGCTGCTGCTGCTGCTAATGCTGCTGCTGCTGCTAGTGCTGCTGCTGCTGCTAGTGCTGCTGTTGCTACTGCTGCTGCTGCTGCTGAGGCTGCTGCTGCTGCAGCTATGGAGCCCCCCAGCTAAGCAAACACATCTACACAAACGCGTATATGAATATAAAACAAAAAAAAACAAAATAAATAAAAATAAAAAATAAATAAATATAAAATTACCTCAGCATCATCTATAAAGGCATCGTCTTTGTCGTAGTAGTCTCCTTTGTCTCCTCCGCCGCTCCTTAATATATCTCTGGGGTTCGCTAGCAGCCGCTGGCACTCTAGGCGCCGCTCTATGTCATGCAGCAGCATATCGAGACGGCTGGGGCGCCACTGCAAGGAGACAAAGGAGACAGAGAGAAGGAGACAGANCAGCAGCATATCGAGACGGCTGGGGCGCCACTGCAAGGAGACAAAGGAGACAGAGAGAAGGAGACAGAAGGAGACAGAAGAGAGAAAGGAGACAGATGAGGAGAGAAAGGAGACATATGAGGAGAGAAAGGAGACAGAGAGAAGGAGACAGAAGAGAGAAAGGAGACAGATGATGAGAGAAAGGAGACAGAAGAGAGAAAGGAGACAGAAGAGAGAAGGAGGCAGAAGAGAGAAAGGAGACAGATGAGGAGAGAAAGGAGACAGAAGAGAGAAAGGAGACAGAAGAGAGAAAGAAGACAGAGATAAAGAGACAGAGGAGAAAGAAACAGAAAAAAAGGAGACAGAAAAAAGGAGACAAAAAAAGGAGACAGAAAATGGAGACAGAAAAAGGAGACAGTAAAAAGGAGACAGAAAAAAGGAGACAAAAAAAGGAGACAAAAAAGGAGACAGAAAAAAGGAGACAGATGAAGGGGAAGGAGACACACAATGGGGTGCAGCAACACGTCAAGGCGACTATAAACAGGGACAAAACAAAAACAAAAAATACAAATTAAAATATATTAAAATAAATTAAAATAAATAAAAATAAATAAAAATAAATAAATAAAAGCAAATATAACAGCAGCAGCAAACAGCAGCAGCAAGCAGCAGCAACCAGCAGCAGCAGCAACCAGCAGCAGCAGCAACCAGCAGCAGCAGCAAACAGCAGCAGCAGTAAACAGCAGCAGCAGCAAACAGCAGCAGCAGCAAACAGCAGCAGCAGCAAACAGCAGCAGCAGCAGAGCGACTCACCAACCCCCCAGCAGCAAGACTGTCGCAGCTGCTGTCTCCGGTTGTCTCCGCAGCTCGGGGCCCTCCACTGTCTCCTTCTAGTCCTGGTCGTTGCTGCTGCTGCTGCTGCTGCTGCTGTTGCTGCTGCTGGTGCTTCTGGCTGCTTCCGCCTTCTACACTGCGTCGTTCTGAACCCCACAAACCCTAAACCCTAAACCCTAAACCCTAAACCCTAAACCCTAAAACCCTAAACCCTAAACCCTAAACCCTGTGTTGTTGAGGGTTTGTGGTTTCACCACAACCCCGCAGACATTTTTATATCAATTAAATTAGGGTTTAGGGTTTGCACGTAGCTGGACGAGGGTTTAGGGTTTAATATATGGCTAAGGGTTTAGGGTTTAGGGTTTAGGGTTTACCTGCAGCAGCTTCCTCCTGCAGCAGCGCGAGCTGTCTCTCCTGCTGCCGCGTGAGGGGCCTAGAAGAGTCAAAGAACTCCAGCTGCAGCAGCAGCGCCGGGGGTCTCCTCTCTTTTATGTTTTCTTCTCCGTACACTGCAGCAGCAGCAGCAGCAAAGTCCACCAATACAGGCAACCTGCAGCAGCAGCAGCAGCAGCAGCAGCAGCAGCAGCAGCAGCGGCAGAAACGGCAGCAAATGGGAATGCATAGAATTAAATAAAGAGAAAGATATGAAGGATGCAATTGCTGCTGCTGTTTGCTGCTGCTG